GTTCACTCACCTGAATTTTATGAAGTGAGAAGTCCCTGTGGATGGGGGGTACAGTGTGTTCACTCACCTGAATTGTATGAAGTGAGAAGTCCCTCTCCTGTTTTGTGAATGGTTGCCTATATCCTACTTCCTCCTCAGCTGTAGGAAATCTCTCCATACCAAACGGTTTGCTTGGTTCTTCACTAGCTGGACCATAACCTGGAAAACAAGATTTTTTACTTCATGTTTATTATATATATTATATATATACATAGGAACATAATGTATAGTTAATTGATTTCTTTGTTAAATAAAAATGTGAAATTAAAAAGGAAATATATCTATAAAAACAAGACATTCGTATATATATATGTTGCGTATGCCGGCCAAACGGCTGGACCGATTGGGCTGAAATTTTTTGTAGACACTCATGGGTGGCCTGGGGGTGTCATAGGCTAAAAAAATTTGAATAAAAAATGCTTTTTGGTAGGTTCTACATCAAAAACTACCATGGCAATTATAATTTATATATTCCCCTGATAGCTAAGGGCCTTACTGGAAAAAATATATTTAAACATGCACAGAGGCTGCCTTTGGACCTATGTTTCTCAAGAAATTTGTCCTAAGTCAAAATCCAATCACCCAGTGTAAATTTAAAACTGATGAGTAAGAGTGTTTTTTCTGAAGTCTCTATTTATATTGGACACCTTTATGATACATTCACAAATTACATTGACTACATTTTTCTGTAAAAAAACTGGATTTATTTCAATTATTGCGTATACAGGGTGAGTCAAAAAAAAGTGTGATTTGCGGCGCATGGTGCAAAATTGTACCTTTTATTGTGCAACTCTTCTGAATGGTGTTTTTCCAATATATTTTGAAAATTTGCAATTTTTTTGGTACACTAATGGCCCAAAAAAAAATCTGCAAACCTTTATTTCATTCAAAATCAAATGTTAAGAAATCAAAAATGTGAAAATAAATTATTTCTATCGAAATCTAAAATTTTAAAAAGATTGGCTCTCAGAATCGAAGATGATTTGCAAAATTGTAATAAGAAAATTCGCAATTTTCAGTTCTGGTCTAATTTTTACGGAAAAATTGTTTTTCAATGGTTCTTAAGGTTTCAACTGAACAGCGTATATTTAATATTTTAGAATATACTAAGAAGGAAGGAACTAGAGAATTTAAATAACTTTTCCTTAAAAATTAGACCAGAACAAAAAATTGCGAATTTTTTATTACAATTTTTTGAATTTTCTGTGATTTTGTGAGTTAATCTTTTAAAAATTTTAGATTTCGATAGAAATAGTTTATATAAACATTTTTGCTTTTCCGAACTTTTGATTTTGAGAGAAAAAAAGATTAGCGGATTCATTTAAGTACCAAAAAAAGTTACAAATATTGAAGAAAAAAAACCATACAGGAGAGTTGCACAAAAAAGATACAATTTTGTACCAATCGCCGCAAATCACACTTTGTTTTGACTCGCTCTGTATATTATATATATATGTATTTCACTATATTAAAGAGAAAAAATGTCTTACTTTTTTTTATTTATTTCTCAATAATCTTGATCTTTAAACTTTAATTTTTGCCCATGCCCATTGTAAAATCTATCTATGTTGGTTTGTTCACGTAAAATTTTAACCAGAAAACTCTGAAATAGGAAGATGACTTTAAAAGTTAGGACTTAACTAGTTCATTGAACAATAGACATAGCAATTGAACAGTGTAAATGGACCCATTTCACTTTAATAGTATATTGCTAAGTTACTTGTAAAAATATTTGCTTTGTAACAAAACGCTTGAGTATTGATATTATGTCATCTTTCTATTCCATTGTTTTCTGGTTATCACTGTATGAAAAATCTAAATTTAGAATTTTCCCTTTCTTTCCCATTTCCCAAGCACAATAATAAAAATTGCATCAGACTCTTAATTAACATTTTTTGGTTTTTTTAATGATAAGAAAGAAAAATAATTCAAAAAAGAATAAATAATCATTTAAACCACCTTGGACAATGTATTTCAATTCAGGTCAATTATTCAATACTGTTTTCGTTGTATCTTTCATTCCTTGATGCTTTTCTTTCATATCATGATTCATGAATTTCCATGAGGGGGGCGGCCCCCCTCCTCCAAGAGCTGGTGGGCCCCCCCCTTTGATCCGCCCCTGGCCAACATTACAGATGTATCAAACAAAAAAGCAAAAAAAACAATTCGAAAATTGCATTTCTACATTAATATTTCTAGGTTTTATTTTTTAAATACTCATAATGTTATCTTAATCGACATAAATAAGCGCCAATGTGCGACATTAGTCCTAAATTCTATTACCTTGAGAATGGTGTATGCTGTAGCAAAAAGAATCTGTTCCCCTAATAGGATGTATAGATCCCAAACCCTAAGGGTTAAGCTGAACGGTAACCTAGAACAAACAATGCAGAGTTAAAATAAATTACATGAGTCTAAATATTAATAATGTTTTATCTGAAAATAGATTATTTCCAATTGTGGTTCACGCAGACTAAGAAGAAAATTGTCGATACTTAGAATTTAGAAGTTTTCTAGAAAAACAGGGACGATCAAATCAAATCAGACTTTTAGGGATGTCCTACATGTACATAATAATAATAGCTTAACATTAGCTCTAAATCCCTTGGTATTATTAAGGTCTCTTAGCTTGACGGTTAAGCACTGTATCAGTCAGGACACCGAGTCTGGAGTGTAGGACTAATATAGTTCTCAGTCCTTCAATCAACTTCATATCCTTATTATTGTAGGTGTGCTGGTCAACCTGCTCCTGTAATATCTGAAGCAGATCCCAAACCTGATTGGACAACCTGTCCCTGACCTCCATCATTGTAGGGTCGGGGTGCCATGAAAACTTTTGAAATGACTTTTCTAATTCTCAAGTATAATGTGGGCTTATGATTCGTAAAGACCTTCCGCGAATAATGTGAAACATGAAAATTTACAAATATGAAACTGCTATCTTAAGGATCAAATTCAATGGACTAAGATTCTTGTCATTACTTCTCGGACATCCGACATTAATGCCAGACCGCCAATCACAGATTCTACTTATCTCAATCGTCATTGTTTAACTATTTGAAATGGAGACAACTTAAAATAACGTCGGCTATATCTTTCGGTTTAAAGGGAAATTTATTTACTTGGATAAATAAATATTTTAAATTGTCAATTGTGTGTAACAAGAATAGGCGTGAACGCAGACGTGCCACCAACATAAATGATTGCATCTACTATCATCAATTTATTAGATATCAATGTTGTTAAAAGTTAAAATAAAAAAATAAATGAAAAAAAATATTTTAAATTAACTATTGACCTTTTTTAAGACACGACACATATAATTTCCCCAAAACAAGATCTGAAGAGAAAAGTCAGTGAATTTTCAATCACGAGTCCGTATTGATTTTAATGTTTTTTTTTGTTTACAATAAAACCAGTTCTTTAGTTATGTAAGTGTTGTAAATGAAATACAACCCTGATCAGAATTCTTAACGCACATTTTTATATTTATTCAGTGAGCTCTATTAGTTACTCTTACCTATCAAGGAAGCACTGGAAAAACCACTTAAATAATTATAAAGTATCTAAAAATATTCAAAATATTAAAAGCATTTGTTAGGGGAAAAGTGTAAAATAGAACTGTCCCATTTTTGATACTTTACCCTGGCAACAATTAATTTGAGCTGATAACTCTTGTATCAAGAACATATCGAGATCAATACTTGATCTTTATCATTTGTAAATCTGCAGATTAATTTGATCTTTATTTGAAATCTGCAGTGTACCCTCAAGCGATAACTGAAATGCACCATATATCCTCAAATTAAAGTGCCCACAGGCAACAGTGCGTATAAAGATTAAACTCAGTCCTGTCTTGTACCTAATGAGCTTGGGAAAGTTAGGAATGAAGAGTCCATGCATCCTGTAGAGGTTTCCAACCATCAGCTTGTGCAGACCCCAGAACGCATCTTCCTCCCTCTCCAGGTACATGAGTAGTAGGGCGGCAACTTGGGACATACCCTGGCAATATCCGACCTAAACATTATTATAGGGATGTTTGGGTGGCAATTTGTGACACACCTTGGCAATATCCGACCTAAACATTATTATAGGGACGATTGGATGGCAATTTTGGACATACCTTAGCAATATCCGACCAAAAAACTATATTAGGGATGTTTGGGTGGCAATTTGGGACATACCTTGGCAATATCCGACCTAAACATTATCATAGGGATGTTTGGGTGGCAATTTGTGACTAACCTTGGCAATATCTGACCTAAACAATATCACTGGGATGTTTGGGTGGCAATTTGTAACATACCCTGGCAATATCCGACCTAAACATTATTATAGGGATGTTTGGGTGGCAATTTATGACACACCTTGGCAATGTCCGACCTAAACAATATCATTGGGATGTTTGGGTGGCAATTTGTAACATACCCTGGCAATATCCGACCTAAACATTATTATAGGGATGTTTGGGTGGCAATTTGGGACATACCTTGACAATATCCGACTTAAACATTATTATAGGAATGCTTGGGTGGCAATTTGTGACATACCTTGGCAATATCTGACCTTAACATTATTATAGGGATGTTTGGGTGGCAATTTGTGACATACCTTGGCAATATCTGACCTTAACATTATTATAGGGATGTTTGGGTGCCAATTTGTGACATACCCTAGCAATATCCGACCTAAGCATTATTATAGGAATGTTTGGGTGGCAATTTAGGACATACCTTGGCAATATCCGACCTAAACATTATTATAGGGATGTTTGGGTGGCAATTTGGGACATACCTTGGCAATATCCGACCTTAACATTATTAAAGGGATGTTTGGGTGGCAATGTGTCACATACCTTGGCAATATCCGACCTTAACATTATTATAGGAATGTTTTGGTGGCTATTTGGGACGATATTTGACCTAAAAAATATCATAGGGAAGACAGGGTGGCAATTTGGGTTAAGCCCTGGCAATATTCGACCTTAACAATATCATAGGAAATAGGGATGTTTGGGTGGCAATTTGAGTCATCCGCCATTACCACATTTTCAATCCACCAACTAAATGAGAAAATCAAACCAAGTTAATTGTTGGAACGACCGAATCTCAAGAAAGTAAATTAGAGATCAGTATTTTATTACCTCTGTGTTGTACATACTGTACGCGGCCAGTACATGAAAAAGAGCTTGTTGTTTCACATTATATCGTTCTCTAAAATATTTAAACTAAATTAGAGACAACAGTTAAAAAGATGGTTCTACCTGAACATACTATGGTTCCTACTATTAAAATATAGATGGTTCTACATGAACATATTATGGTTCCTATAGGTTCTATTAAAATATAGATGGTTCTACCTGAACATACTATGGTTCCTATAGGTTCTATTAAAATATAGATGGTTCTACCTGAACATACTATGGTTCCTATAGGTTCTATTAACATCTAGGTCTATTTGTCGAATATCAGGAGAGTGGTGTCGGGCTTGCTTCTAAAATATATATATTTGTATAAAGTGAATTGGTGAACGATGTAAAAAAAAAATTCGTTTTCCAAGCAAAGCTTTATTTCACATTATCCAAAATCCATTAAAAAATTAGATTGAATTGAATTCTATTAAATTTTAAACTTTTCTTTATAGATCATTAGAGATTTAAAATCTTAAAAAAATTATACTTTTTCTTTTTAATTATATTATTTTAGACTTTGTATTCTGCGAATTTGTGAAACAAAGAAACCAAATTTTCTCTCAATTTTAAAAATTTTAATATTTAGAATCATTTCGTTTCAACATTTCTGATTCTGCTAACCTTCATTCTCTCATAGGTTCCTGGTTGTTCTTGTTTGAGTGAATCTATATCCAGGAGTTTGGCCCAAACTGTTCCTCGCATTCGGAGGGGAACACCCTTCCAAACCCGCCCTACCATTGTATCCCTGCAACCAAATTATGAAAACCAATGGAAACTATTTGATGTCAAAAACGCAAAAGTTTTCATTAATTGTGCACCATGGGCAGTTTAAAAAAGGTCAACTTTTTTCCGCCAAAAAATTCCGAAAACGGGAAAATCTGTGAAAAAGTTTAATAGCATTTGTTAAAAACTGCGCAAGAGAAAGAAGAAATCTATAAAGAAATCTATTTAGCATTTGATACTACATTTAATCTTCAAAATCTCTTACATGATTCTACAAATTATACATTATATAGTCTTTAAGAAATAGCAATCGACTGTAATTTTAGGACAACCATCAAATATTTGGAATTAAAACTCGTTGATATTTAATTGAAATATATATCGACCTTAAGGTAAAGTGAAAACATTTTTTTAAATAATTAAACAATTTAGCTCAAATTTACCTATTCTTAGCTCTCTCCTTGAAATATTTGTCGGGCTCCTTCTTCAGCATGGTGACCCACTTATCCACCCTGTTCATCTCCTTGGCCAGGAGCTTCTGCTCCCTCTCTGTTCTACCCGTGTGGTCAGGTAACCGTTTATCATGGATAAATCCGTACCTGGAGAATAGAAATTTAAATGATTTATTTTAATCACATTGAAAGCAGTGCTTGGGATCATGTAAATAAAAATTTCACACACAGTCTCAATGAGTTAAATTCTTAAAATTGAGTGTTGAATATTCAAAATTAAAACGACCGCCCCCCCCCCCCCAACATAGAAAATTCTTCAAATATTTACCTCTGACAGGTCCATCACCCTGGTATTCCTCCTTGTTTTTACACACACCTCCCCCCCGGCCCCCCCATTGTTTGTTTATTTGTTAGTTTATTTTAATTACCTATCGATAGAATGATAATATTCATATTTTGGATCCTCCCAGTCATCAATCTGTGCTCCCTCCTCTCTCCCTCTATCATACTTCTCTACAATCTCATCCCTCTCCTCCCTCGCCCTCTCCCTCATCTCCACCTCATCCTCACCGTTCATCACACACCCTGCAAACAGAAACTTATTAGGATACACCCTGCAAACAGGGAATTTTTAGAATACACCCTGTCAACAGAATCCTTTCAGGATACACCCTGTAAACACGAACTTGTAAGGATACACCCTGCAAACAAAAACATATAAGGATACACCCTGTGTACGGGAACTTATTAATACGATACACCTTGTAAACAGTAACTTATTAGGATACACCCTGCATACAGGAACTTATTTATGGGATACACCCTGTAAACAGTAACTTGTAAGAATATATCCTTTAAACAGGAGCTTTTCAGGAAACTGAAACACCCCGTAAATAAAGGTACACTTTGAAAAACAGACAGTTTTTAAGATACACCTTGCTAACAGAAACTATTTAGGATACACACTGTAAACACACACTTATGTAAAGCAATCTTTCAACAGAAACAAAATAGTATACACCTTATAGACATCAACACCCTGTAAACAAACACTTTTTGAATACACCCTTTTAACAAACTTTTTATGACATAGCTTCAAGGATACATCCTGTAAACAGAATCTTCTTACGATACATCCTGAACGCAGAAGGTTCTTAGGTTACGTCCTTAGTGGTTTAAATCTCAATATTTTTAATACAAATTACATTTACGCACGTAAAACTAGTAACTTCAACTGAATATTATTTCATAATTTATCAACACTTCACAATCTGTAACATATCAGTTTCACAGATTTAATTCAAATTCATTGTTAACCACAGATTATAAATATACATTGCAGGGGTGTATATTTTCTAACAAAAACTCCCCCCCGTTTGGAAACTCATTTCCCCCAAGAAAATAAATGATTTCCCCCCAGAAAATGACAGTCCTGACACATGATAAATACAATATACATATTACAAACAAAGTACATACAATCATAGATCTGACTGACCCACAATCTAAGTGTGACCTTCAGTACTCTTAAAAATTATGTTTTAAAATGATTATTTGAAAAATATAAAATAAATGAAAATAGCTGCCCTTAAGGATAAAAAACGACACAATCTCGACCATTGTTTAAAGAAAACTTGAGTGAATCCGTGATGGCACTCTTTGATGTAAGTTTCACTCATATATCGGGACTCAGGAACCACTAAAAGAGGTCTACAGAAAACAAAATTAATATCTCCATTATTCTGAAATTATAATCCTCCGTAATATAAAACCTAAAATATTCGTTAACATTTAAAAAAAAATATTCTTAACATCAGCTTTGTGGATTATCTTAACTGAAAATAGAAAGTTAGAACATTAAATGAATTTAATATTTCTGTGACGTTAGTTTAAAGAATAATGACGCGAATGAAAAGCTGAAGGTTTTCGTATTTTTGGCGAACTAACATTTTTTAGAGTTCCTAAGATTGGAATTAAGTATCCAAATAATGTACAACTACTACTAGGGGCCTTCAATTAGAATGTAAGTCTCAAATTATCACTGCCAGGGGTGTATCCAGGATATTGTCCAGGAGAGGGGCTTACACATTTGTTTGCCTTTATTAATATCATTAATAGTATTAATATTACAAGGGATCCATGTTTATTGAGACTCCATGTACCTGGCTAGTGTGAAGTATTAATGTTACACGGGATCAGGAATCCTAGAACAGGGCTGACCCATCTCCTTGCAGTTCTCCTTAGGGTCAACCTGAAAGGATTAAATAAATATATGTAAAAAAAGCGAAAGTTTCAAACTATGTTGAGTGTTGACAATATCGTATAATTTTAGAATAAAATTAAAGGATTAGCACTTTCAAAATTAAACCTAATTTTTGAGCGATGCATTTTATATAATTTATGGGCAAAATGGAAAATGGGATATTCAGTTTTTAAATACTAATCCCGCCACAGGAAAAAAATTGGTTGTTTTCTTTAACCTTCTACAAATATTAGGAGAAAATACTGAAGGTCTAACATCTTCAAATTGAAATGCAAGTCCGGACACTTTCCTTTGAAAAGGGTGCTTAAGATCCGGATTCTGTTGGATCCGCAAGATTTTGGCTTCCTGGATCCGGATCCGCCAAAATATGCGGATCCAAGGGGCAAAATATCAACAAAAAACGGCAAAAAAGAGAGATCATAAAAATTTCCTGATTTCTGAATGGTTCATCAAGTTTGCATAAAAATAAGCGAAAAAATATTACAAAAAATTTGAAAATTCTTCTTTGTTAAAAAAATTCAGTAAATATGGAAATGCGGATCCAGGATCCGGATCCGCATAAAAATTAAATGGATTCTAAGCACTGGAAAAGAAGTCAATACATTCGTTTAGAAATGAAGAGGTAGATTAGTTCTGAGTGTTAACAACAAACTGTCCTCATTGTTCTAAATTATTCTAATTTAATAGTTTGAATAAATAATTAGGCGTAAGGGGAGCATTCATTAATCTTCATTTACCTTAAAAACAGGGGTAAATATTTTCTTAAATAATTTTTGCCCCCGCCCCCGGCACTCCTCTTCTGGGGGTTATCGGGGTATTAGGGGAAATAATTGATTTTTAGAAGAAAAAAAGACAAATATAGAATAAACTTTTTTCAATTCGCCCAAAATCTTCGGAACTCTATAAGATATTTAACACTTCTTACATATTCAATAAAAAAGGTTAAAGAAAACAAACGATTACAATAAATTAGTCAAAAAGTGTTAAAAATAATTTATGGCAAGGTGAATATTCAAAGTATTTAAAATATTTGATAAGCTAAAATTTAAAATCTAAATTATCAAAATATCAATGCTAAAATTTAAATTTTATTCAATACAAATATCACTGCCCTGAAAAAATTTACCAGATGTGCGACCAATTTTTAGGAAGCATTAGGGTAAAAACTAGTTCAAATACGAAATTTTAGCATTTTAAAATAATTTTCCAATGGCCCAGCCATTTAACTGTTTTTCGCCATTTTTGGCTGTTTTCAACCTTTTTTAACCATTCGATCCCGAGAATGGTAGGAAAATTATTTTAAAATACAAAAATTTCGTATTTGAGCTAGTTTTACCCTAATGCTTCCTAAAAATGTGTCGCACATCTGGGAATTTTTTTCAGGGGCCTTTGTATAATAACAAACAAACAATAAAACATTTAGAGTAGCAAATCCCCATTTTTCCAGCAAAGATTAAAATTGATAGATAGCGTGAAATTGTTGTGTACTTAGTGTACTCCAGTCTACTGATCTATAAACATTAAGAGAAGAAAATATATAAAAATCCTCCTTCTATATCAAGTTGTGACGAGGATAGAGAAACACAACCATTCACCGGGTAACTTTAAAGGGTCTGTTAACTCAAAGAGACTGTTAACTCAGAGTCAGAGGGATTAATAATTCAAGGGGAATGTCAACTCAAAGGATGGTTAACTTAATGGGATCGTTAGCTCATAGGGATTTTTCTCAAAGGGATTGTTAACTTCTCAATGACATTTCTAAAACTAAAGGGTCGCTGTTTTAAAAGCATTGTTAACTCAACAGAAATGTTAACTCAAATGGATTGTAAACTAGAAGGGATTGTTAACTCAATGGGAAAAGAGCGTGTGGAGTGTTAAAAGTACATCTAAGCAAATGTGAAATTTTAGTCCCCTTTGTAACTTTTAACTGATAAAATTATATAGAACCTTCTTACTTTTTTCTCTATTTAAAGAAATTTACACTAACAGCCCCCTGTTTAAGATAGAAAATATCTCTCCACTAGTAAAGTAAACGTTAAAAGAAAATCGTTGTGAATTGATGAAAGTATTCAGTAGGGCCTTGATGATAAGAGGTGTCGAGAGGGAGAGAGAGAGAGAGCAGCATTTTTTTTTATTTTTAAGATTTTTAAAAGCGTGACTAGAAAAACAATTATCTCTAATTGAAACTGGATCAGCGAATTTAGCGTTAAGAATATGACCAGAGCAATTTCGGAGACGTCAAGAAAACAAAACAGTTTTCTATATCAATTATGACGTATTCTCATATTTATCAAATATTAAACTATCCGTCACAACTAATCCTCAGATAAAATGAGTGAAGTAGTATTATATACAGTGCTTAGGATCCATTTAATTTTGATGCAGATCCGGACTAACAAAAATTTTCCGTATCCAAATCCGGATTCATCATATTTCTTTAAAATTTACCGATTTTTTTTAACGAAGCAGAATTTTAAAATTTTTCTAATTTTTTCGCTTATTTTTTGCTAAAATTTGATGAACCATTAAGAAATCAGGAAATTTTTATAATTTCTCTTTTATCATTAGTTCAGATTTGGGTTCAGAGTAAAATTTTTTTCTTTCAGTTTTTCGTTGATATTTTGTGGATCCGGATCCGTGGATCCGCATATATTGCGGATCTAACGGATCCAGAAAGCCAATTCTTGCGGATCCAACGGAACCGGATCCTAAGCACTGAAGTTATATTTTTATCTATTTGTCAGTCAACGTAATTTAACGAGGAACTTTTAGAAGACCAAATTGATAAAAGTTCCGGTTCATCAATAATTTTAAAGGGATTGCAAGCGTAATTTCAAGTGACCCCCTAAGCAAAGATGAAAATGACCGATTTACAACGGTGCCCAAACCTTCGCCTAATCATAACCATGGAAGATAACGTCGTTTTTAAATCGAAAAGTGGCTAATTCTTATAATTTCTCTGGTTTTTCTGATACGCAAGAAATGCGCAAGTCACTTTGGCAGAGAAACCCCGAATAAAAATAAACAATTTTCTAAGGCGAAAACACGGAGTTCTAATTCCTACCTGATAATATTTGGGATGAATTTACAATCTACATTGCTCACTTTAGCTCTGAAAGAAATGATTAGACGTTAAAATATTGAATACTCGTCTCACCAGATTCTACAATATTGTGAACTAGAATACACACAGCAGTTCACCAGCAGGTCTTAACGGGGCTGGACACGTAATTTCAAGGTAGATTTTATAAAAGTTCTCAGAATTATATTTGAAGGCTACTGTTGTGAATCGGGCATGCCGCTTTTGAAATGAAAAATCGCTTGAAATTATATATACAGTCCTTTTAATGATAAATATTAACCAAGACGAAACTGTTTTAATCATTAGACCTCTGTGTCCTGTTAATTTTGTGGGAAAACTCTACGTGGTGCTGAAATAAATTCGTCCTAGATATTTATATAATTATACAGATTAGATTCAAGCAAATGTGTTGACTGTGAATTGACTGGTTGAGGGGTAGAAGATCACATTTGTGTTAAAGAAACATTCATGGTTTACATCGAGTTAATGGCTTTGCCGGACCAGGCGGCCAGGTTGGCCTCACGGAACGCCTCTGAGCAGGTAGGATGGGCGTGGCACACTCTGGCAATATCTTCGCAGCTTGCTCCATACTCCATTGCTAGGGCAGCCTGAACAAAATGGTCATTGAACCAGGAAAATATAGTTGTTCTAGTTTTCTCACCAATTTCATGTTGTAGTTTACTTAAAAAAAGACCCGAACAAGTTTTAAATTTATACAAAATTTGTTAACACCATCGCTAAATGCATTCTTTTTCATGCAAATACCAAAGATAAAAGTCCGATACTTTAAAACTTAAAAAAATGTTTTTTCTTCTTCAAAAATAAAAGAATGTTATAATATTATAATTTGACAAATTAGAACAGTTCGGGCCTGGGAAGAACTTACTGAGATGAGTTGTGGTGAAAAGTAATAATAAAGAAAAAAGACGAAGAATCCGAAAAGCCCCCGAAATAGAATCTACAGATCACCACGTGTCCCAATTCAGTTCAACATCGGTCCCAAGCCAACAAACTGTACCCTCTATACAATCTTGCGAGCAGAGTTACCACCGGTGGTTGGCTGGCCAACTGACCCAGTGGAAATATGCGCACCTTGCATGAAAGAGCAAGAGAGGATTTCAAGTTGACTTTGTCATTTTAAAATTTACATTTTCCATAATTTTGTAATTATTTTACCTCGTTAATCATCTCCCCTGCTCCAGGACCAATAATATGAGCTCCTAATAGACGATCTGTTTTCTTATCTCCTAAAACCTTCACGAACCCATCAGTTTCATTGTTGCATTTAGCTCTAAATAGTTTTTCCATTTATAATCATCAGTATAATTGTTACGTTTAGTTCTAAATATTATCGTCATTTTTATTAGTATTACTGTTGCATTTAGCTCTAGATGATATAATCATTATAGGCAGAATCGTCAGTATCTTTGTTACATTTAGCTCTAGATGGTATTCAAATCATTAATATTAAAATAATTGTTATATTTAGCTCTGGATACTGTAATCATTATTATCATCATAATAATTGTTATTCAAGAAAACATTTTTTCGGAACTTTATGTGTCAAGATCAGAGTAAATTCTAAAACGATTTTGAGGCTGGAATGAGTGGGTTGTGGGGTTCATACTAATGGAACTTATTNGCACTTGCTACAAAACCAACCTGCTGTTGGCAGCAAAGGGGAATTTTCCAACAGTGAATTCAACTCCTTCACTTTTCAGATCTTCTTCAGTTTTACCTACCCAAGCAACCTCAGGGTGAGTGTAGATTACCTAAACAAAATTTAAAATAATCAAGAACAAAAATCATTCAAGGGACAGTCGAGTTAATCTTATATGTCCCTATGTTTATAGAGTTGAATGCCCAACATTTAAAAACAACGATATCTATGGAAAAGAAAAATAAATGCCATCATTTTGACAAAGGTTTATGGAGTAGCTTCGAGAATTGGACAACACTTCAAATTGAAAAGTGAAAGGTTAACATCTGATAACAACCACCCTTCTCCCGTCAACATAAATAAATTATTACTCACAAATTTATATCTTTAACTTACGGAGGGAACACAGTTGTAATCTATATGTACTGCTCCTCCCACCATTCCTTCTGCACACAGAATACCTTCATCTTCAGCCTTGTGTGCAAGCATAGGTCCCTGACAATCAATCAATTACAAATTATTTCATCTATAGCTTGTTTAATGGTTTGTCCGTTTGAATCCAATCAACGTCAAGTCAGGGCCAAGATTTTGCAAATCACACGGCCCAATGTAATGTTTATAGCTGGTCAAAAACTGAAATATTTTGCCTAGAAAAATTTCGATTCAAACTTATTTTTGGGTATCCATCATAAAAATCCGCGAACATTTTAGTTTTACTAGTACAAAAAAGATATAGAGACAGAAAGTTTAGTTGCTGATAATTCTTAATAAATATTTATCATTGAATTGTTTCGTGATTTATTTTATTTTAATATCTTAATTTCTTTTATTACGTGCGTTTCTTTCAAAAATTCTAAAATAATGTGAAAATGACTACTCTAACACAAGATGCAAATAAAATTATAATTAGAAAATTAGTTTTAGACAATGCTTAATTTTCGCCAGCACAGTGACGAAGTTTTATATTTTGATATTAAATACGTAATTACGTATTGTGCTCTTGAAAGAGAGGAATGTTTGCTTTTATGAAGAAGAGTTGTGAGAAAAGCCTTCAAAACATACTTTTTCAACTTAACTTGCTTCAAAACATTTAATCTTAATATCAAAGAAAAAAGGTTTGTCGGTTGCCGCTTTTTTGAATAATACAAGCAACTGATTTTCCCCCCCCTAACACAGAGGTTCACATATGAGGAAAAATTAAAAACATTGATAAATACAACATCTAAATATACATTTGTCTATCTCTTACATTTACATAGCAAACATTTAAAAGTGCCCTGATTTACCAGTTTAAAATAAAACTACCTGAATACAATCACCGATTGCGAAAATGTTTGGGAGTACTGTTTGAAACCTAAAAAGATTAAATTAAAATTAAACAAAATAGCTTTTCTTTATGTTAAAAAAAGAATGANGAAATATCATCAAAAATAAAATTAAATACCCCAGTGGTTTACCTGAGTTCCTAGTCTACTCCAGACAGATCCAAGTTCTACTCCAATAACTCCAGCACCAATAATTATCATCTTCTCAGGAACCTAACAATATATTAACAATCATCACAAAGTTACACCAGACTCTCGTGATTTTGTTCAACCTGCCAAATGCCGTGGTTAAGCCCTATTCATAGTTGGTGTTCAACTTGCCTAAATTGACGATCAACCGCCAAATATTGGTGATCTCTGACTTAGTTTTTGTTCAAACTGCCTAATATTGGTGATCAACATAACTATGGATGGTGTTCAACCTGCCTAAAATAGTTGATCAACCTAACTTTGCTATTGTTTAACCTGCCTAATATTGGTGTTCAACCTGCCTATTATTGGTGATCAACCTGGTTCGTTGTTCTTCAACCTGCCTATTGTTGGTGTTCAATCTTCCTAATATTGGAGATCAACCTACCTAATCTTAGAGATAAACTTAACTTTGTTGCTTTTTAAACATAAAATATTGGTTCAAAATGCCTAATATTGATGATGAACCTGACAATAGTTGATGTTCAACCTGCCTATTAATGGCGATCTTACAGACTCTGGTTGGTGTTCAAACTGCCTAATTTTGGTGATCAACCTAACTTTGTTGTTAAAACTTCCTATTGTTAGTGATCAATCTGACTATGGTTTATGTTCAACCTGTCTAATTTTGGTGATCAACCTAACTTTGTTGTTGTTCAACCTCCCTAATATTGGTGATCAACCAGACTAAGGTTATTGTTCAACCAGCCTACCTTCTTAAGGCTGAGTGCTCCGGTGGAGGATACAATGGTCTCCTCATCGATCTCTATTCCAGGGAAAGGTGTAACCTCGGATCCTAGGAGTAGAATATACAAAACTACGTTAAAGGATTAAGGACATATCATTAAGAAATTAAGTCCACTGGAAAAAACTCTTTAAATTGGTTTAAATCAGTGTTTCTGATCCGCATCCACTGTATCCGCAACATTTAAAATCCCAGGATCCCGATCCAGGTAAAATATTTACAACGTCTTCAAAGGAGGAGAAGGATATAGAAGTTATTATCTCAGATTCTCTTAACCTTCTTCTCAATGTGCAGTTGCAGCTAGAAAGGCTAACCAGGTTCTGGGACAAATGTCAAGATCATTCCATTACAGGGACAGGTTCACTTGGATCAAATTGTACAAGGTGTATGTTCGACCCCACCTTGAGTATGCAGTGCAAGCATGGTCCCCATGGACACAAGAAGATATTAATCTACTGGAGAATGTGCAACGCAGAGCTCTAAGAATGACGTCAGGTCTGGCAGGTCAAACATATGAGGAAAGATTGATTGAGGTTGGTTTGACCTCTCTAGAGGCCAGACGACTTCGTGGTGATTTAATACAGACCTGGAAAATTCTACATGGATATGATAATGTTAATGAATCTTCTTGGTTCAGCAGAACATGCGAGACAGCGAATAGACTGACAATCCAATCCAATTGCAGTTTCAATTTAAATGTAAAGCAATTCAATTCTAACATAAGAAAAAACTCTTTTTCTGTGAGAGTGATAAACCCATGGAGCAGTTTGCCAGACTATATTGAAGAGTCTAAAACCTTAAACATTTTCAAGAACAGTTACGATGATCATGTGAAAAATGTCGAGCATATAGTGAAAAATATCAAGTTTAAGAAGCGCTTTTTATTACCAAAAATGGTATCTAAGCGAAACCAGAACAATATAACAATAAAAAAGGAGTTTCGCTTGATTGGGACCTTTTTTGGATTTATTTTCTCGTAAATGTTAGCAACTTTAAACATTTTTTTATATTTATGAGATGGAATAGAATATGATAATTCGATTGCAATTTTCACAGGACGGGTTTAGGTTCGAGGCTCGCATCAAAACTGAAATGGTTCCATTGCATTGGCTTTTTAAACATTTATAGATCTAATACCGTCTACAATAGCTATACAATAAATCAAATCAAATCAAATCATGAGTGTTAGGGAAAGCAAATAATAGTGGGGTTAATATCAAAGAAAAATAAAGGGCACGGGGAATATGGGTTGTCAACTCTCAAAGATCTCAAATGATGTTAGGTACTTTCTTAAAGAATTTTTCCCAATTGGCAACTTCCCAAGGGCATATTTCGAAGTGGCAACTTCCCAAGTGTGCAATTTCCCAAACAACAACTTCCCAAGAATATCCTAGCCGCAACGCATGACCCCCCCCCCTTCTGTTCTAGCCGCTAAATAATGAGAATAGTAATGAAATTCCTGCTAATTTTAATACAACATTATTAGTTTTGTACCTGTTGCGATCATAATATTTTTAGTGTTAACAACCTCTTTAACAGATCCGTCGTCGTTCAGAACAGAAACCTAGAAAGAATTAAGTTTGTCTACTATAAAACAGATTACGGGGGGATATTGTCATACCCCTTCCCTTCCCCCCTTCTTAAATATTATTTTTTTGCTAATTAAAATCTGGATTAGATGGATTAATACATCAAAGAAATCGTAAAATTAACATTTCTGAAACTGCTTTGTCATGCTCTCTAAGATAGCGAAATATTTAATGAATTGAGAAAGAAGATAAAAGAGAGCTTTCAAAAATTAGATAAGAAAAACAAACTAATTTAGTTTTCATTTTTCAGAGACCGAACTTAAAGAATTGGAGAGGTCTCTGAAATACCGAACGCCGGTTCAAATCATGAATAACCGATTCAAATACTCATGTATCTTCAACATTGAATCAGTGATTCAAGATATAAAACGGCGTTAGGTAGCCCCAATGCCAGCCTTAAAGTTGGGTTGATTTTTTTTATCAAATTGGATTTTCACAAGTAAAATTTAAGGCGTGTAGTTTAACTTTGGTAATCAAACTATGCACTGGAAATCAAATGTACCGTACACCGCCTGTTCTGCCACACCCTATTTGAAAATTTTAAAAGTCGGTAAATATCAAAAGGAAAAGATAATAAAAATTTTCTGTAAATAAAATTTTTATTTTGACCGAAAAAAGTCGACACAAAAAATTTAATTAAAAATACAATCAATTCTTTATAAGTTAGTTGCTTTTTTAACTGGTTTTAAGTTTAATATTGAAAATGCGGTATAACGTATGTTTCATAAATAGATGTGTTTAAGGATTTTAACCGAAAATTCACTAAAAATATGACTAGAATTCAATTTCAGATATCTTTCAAAACCGTTAACAGTCCCTTAAATATTTACCTGGTTGGGTCCTGTGATCTTGCCGTGTCCCTGGAGGTGTCCAACCTTGTTTCCCTTAAACAACATGGCAATCCCTCCGGTCAGTTGACCAACAGCTTTGCTCTTCTCCCCCATCATGGTCTCAAGGTTGAGGTTGACATCAGACACCTCGATCCCGCGCTTAGCCAAGTCCCCAGATTTGGCCATGTGGTAGTAGTGGGAGTTATTCAACAGGGCCTAGGGAGTAGGGATATTTAACAGGGGTTTGAAAAATCATTCCTTTCCCCTGAGTTTCCCCCCATTTATTAAGAAGTTTCTTAGCTTAATTGGAGGAAAAAATTATATTTAGGGGGAATAAATAAATTTGGAAGGAAAAAGTTTCAAAAAGGATGAAAAAACTAGACTTGTGATTTTTCCCAATACAATTTTTCATTTTTTTTCGGATTTTCCCCCGATTCATCAAAAATTATGTCCCCTCGAGCATTTCTTAAAATCATACGCAATAGACCACTAAAAAAACAATAGGACTATTAACCACAACCATTTAATGGCATATTACGATGAAGTCATAACTTGAAATCCGTAAACCTCCCCCTTTCTCTAACCCGTTCCAAATTAGCACGAAGCGCGCACATATTTTACCAAAATTCCCCTTTAAATGTTTCACAATGCGTCAATAATGAAACATAATTAAAGTAAAATTCCTTACCTTTGATGGAATACATCCAACATTGAGACAAGTTCCTCCAAGGGTGGCATTCTTCTCAACACACACAGTTTTCATGCCCAGCTGGGCAGCCTACACTTATACATTATCCATCATATTCATGTACAGAGGTAGAAAGCAAGACCCCCTATCCGGAATGTATATTTTCCAGAAAAATCTCCCACCCACCTGCTATGAATTTTTTTCTCTCGCTAAAATGGGGAAATAAAATTAATTGTAGGGGGAAATAATTGAATTTTCGGGGGAAAAATTCAAACAAGATGAAAAAAAAACTTGCCTTTTAAATTCCAATTTTCCATTGGTTTCCTCAAATTCTTNTTTATCATCTCCAAATCAAGGCTTTAAGACCGGCTCAAATAAGAGATCCATGTTTTGAAGTAAAAGCTCTGGATCCGGATCGACCAAAATAAAGAAGAAACACAAATATGAAGTGTTGACTAAAGAGAGATTGGTAAAGCTGAACACATTTTGCTCTCTCAATGGTCAAATAATCCATAACTATTAATAAACTGGATCCGGATCAACATACAAATGGAATGGATCCTGATGCTGGGAAGGGCTTATTTTCCGTTCTATTAAATCCCTTCAAGCTCATTAGTATCCAAACCAGTGATCCTTCAAACTTGAAAGTTCCATCTGTAAATACCGGAATTTTTTGATGTGTTAATATGTGAAAAATGTAAAGAACCTGAACATTTTCAAGAATAAACTGGATGAATGGCTAAACTACTGAATGGGAAACATAGACTGAAAAACTGAAATGGTTCCATTGCATTAACAGGAACACGTCCTCTGTTATCCCTCTCTATCCCTAGTTCCTCTAGTCCAAGATTATGAGTATAAGGTCGTCTTCCAACACACACCAGGAGAACATCTGCTTCCATCTCCTCTACCTTCCCATCCTTTACTCCTTCTACACTCACCTTCACCTTACCTCCTTCCTTCACAGCTCCTGTAACCTAGCACACACAAAATATTAAACAGATTGTCAATTCCAGTTCAAATTATAGTTCGTTGGAAGATTGCAATAAATTATAAGAATCCAGAATTTGTTCCAACTTTAATTGGAATGTACTGGGATCAGATTTTATAAATAGAGAAAAAAAGTTCAACCCCATATCTCATGTGGCTGGTTCAAATTGAAGGAAAGTGGTTCAACCAATTGAACATAAAACTAACTCTTGTTTGCATTTTGTTTATAAAAAATGAAGCTAACAACTTCGAAACTCTAATATCAATACCTTTGTATTTAGCTTGAATTTAAGTCCCTGTTTCGCCATAATTCTCTGGAAGGATTTGCTCACGTCAGCATCAATACCCATACCTCCAACATGTCCAAGGAACTCAACAGCTGTAACCTAAACAAGATAAATGCATCGGTGCTTTTACCCCCTACCCTTTTATCTCAAAACCAAAAACCATTAGAAAACATTTTTCAAATTGCCCTCCACTAAATGTAATTGTGTTTAGGCACAAATATAAGGTGTAGCCTGCCCTTTAGTTTTCAATAAGAACTTTTTCATACCGGTCACCCAAAGACTTTGTTAGAATTTTGCTATAAATGGATAAATGACAGTCCTAAAAAGTCCCAGTAAGACGCAGTAGGTCTATTCAAAATAATACACATTGCACTAATTACAGTATAATGGTTTTAACCCAGGGCTCCAAAAATCGTATACTAGGACGGACCCCGTGAAATTATCATTATTAAAAAAGAGTATTTAAACATTCAATGCTATCGAGATAATAGTTAAAACCATCTTCCTATATTTAACCATGTTTGTAAAGCAATAGACGTAGTTATCATTATCATATAAAAAATTTAATAATGAAGGCTACACCCTGCAATAACCACCCTACGACTCCCATCTCGGTTCTATTAAATTTTTCTCAATAAAACAATACCTGAAGGGCGACAACACAATGGTTGTTAGATCCGTTGGGCTTAGCCACAAGCCTTAGAGCCTTTCCCAAACTTGACTGCATTATTCTCTGAAAAGAATTGATCACATTCACTTGTTATGCATGGCCGACGCCGGTTTCATATTAATTTCTACGCATCGGTTAAATTCATTTTTAAAAATATACTATCATTTCTAATCCAATTTACTAGTTCTTATTAATAACTTGTTATGTGACAATACTTTTGTAATGGACAATTGTGGCCATGTTTGATTCTTAAAAATTTTGTCTGAAATTCAGCTGTTTTCACTGGAAACTTGCCATACGAACCAGTTCCATACTTGCTAGCAGACCCTCACACAAAACCTTAAGATTTTACAACTAACTCTAACATAAAATCAGAACCGGTAAACATCTTAATTAAATGTCGTCGTTTTAAAAAAAGTTTTCAATGATGAGTGCTATGCAAACCGAACTATAGAATAACTGGGAGAACCCGACCTACTGATTATTTGAATAAATAATCTTTTATTAATTTAATGTTATTAACGGGAAATGATTGAACATTGAAATCTCATCTTTCCAACTCTTGACAATTAAATCAAGGTTAAATTTGGGATTTTTTATTTTGAATAAAGGTTTTTTATAGGAGTTTTTTCCGTATAATCGTGTTCATAAACCCCATGGGAATTCTACAGAAGTCCCACGAGTCCCACGAAACATGACAGTTGATAAATAGTTATAAATGTCGTCTTTCATATACTGCATTAATAGATTTTTAAGGTTTTTTTTTTAAAAATCTTATGCTTAAATATTTTACTTTGAAATCAATTTTACCATAACACGACTCCCGTATTATATTTTGTCTTTGGTATCAAACAACTTAACAAATTATGGAAAGCATTCAATTAACATTCACCAACTGTCATGTTTCGTGCAACTTCTATATTTTATTTTATAATGGATGTGGAGATATGGTATAAACTACACAAATATCTGTCAAAAGCGAAGATTTTTACGCGTTTTAAAGTTACTTTTTTCTCTTTTGAAAACGGCTCCGATCCCTAGCAAATAGATTTCGAGTTTTTTTATCTTAAATGGGGGGAACGATGATAAACAAGACAAATGTTTGCGCTTTATGAGATCTTTGTAAACATACAGGGAAGGTGGAAAGAAAAGTTTTCAGTGAAACGCAAGAAATACATTGTAACATTTCCGTTAATTAAATACTGATTTATTCAATATCACTGTAAAATTACAATTAAAAACCAATAATTATACACCTGGGGCTAGGCAACATATTTCTCTATTTATTAGATATGTAAATAGACTTCGAGTCAATAATTATGAAGCTAAATTCTGCTAGTAATATAGTAATATAGTAATAGGAAACTCCAATTGAGTAATAGAAGACGATATTTTAACTTGGTTTAAGTGACATTTTACTCGAAGTGGACCACGTCTAAAAACGTCTAAAAACGTCTAAAAACGTCTAAAAACGTTGACTATCCGTTAAACGAAGAAAACAAAAAAATTAGCAAAAACAGAGGAAATGGAAGAAATGAAAGATTTTATTAAAACTCTAATCTTTACTTTGAAGATAATTATATAATATTAAATGATAAAAGTTATGGCAATATCACTAGGCTCTAGAAATTACTTTAATTGCATTTAACCTCCAGGAGGAAGCAAGGAGGTGGGATATAGAACATTATGCACACAACATCCTATTTTTAGTCCGTTATATATATTAAATAATAAAATATTCATTGAGAACGGAACTTATTGTTAAAATAGATAAAAATAGATTATCGGTTATCATTTGATATTTAAACTATAGGTATTTACGGAATCTCCAACCAAACTAAAAGCTATCATCCTTCTGCAGGAACTACGGAGAACGCCAATCACCAAGATCATGGCAAGATCTCAAGGATTAAGTAAAACGCTTTAAAAACTAGGAAATTGAGATTTTTCCTCCAGTTTTCTAACTGGAGGGATTTATATCATACGCCCAGGTGGAAGAGTGATCACTTTAGTTATTCTTGATTCCCCTAGGTGTCTCCCCTGATCTTCCTGAATGCGAAGGTAGAGTATGTAAGCTTGGATGAAGCTGCTGTGGATTTGGTAATGATATGGGAGATGGTAACTTGATATTTTCTTTTGGATTGTCGTCTTCATTTGTTAATTTGTTAAAGCACATGTTTAATAATATATCACGGGATTTTAGGTCTAAATTCGTAGCGTTAATATCCTTACTTCGATTTTCTGTTGTATATGATTCAAAATCCCAAATTCGAGTTTAACACATGAGAGTTGCTCAAGGCGATGATTCTAAAGCGGTTACCAGCCCTCTGACCTCGAACCGAATATACCGGCAAGAGATCGTCGATGATTGCCGGATGGAATCGCACTGTTGGATGGCCGGCCATGGCCGGCGATGATGTTCGTCAGTTGCAATCTTTCTGCCAGTTCTGGTTGTTCGGCTGTCTGCCGTTAACGCCGTTACGAGATGAAGGATCAACGGATCCAGATCGTCTGAAGGTTGCTCCTCCGCGGGGAATCCCACCTCTAAACATGCAATTATTATTGTTCATCATGTTCGTGTTCGTGTTCATGTTTGTGTTCATGTTCAGGTTCATGTTCATGTATATTTTCATGTTCATGTTCATGTTCATAATAATTTCTGTTTTTTTTAATGTCCGTCAATAATAATTATGATATTTTAGATTTTTATTTCGTCGAGCTTCTTTATTCTATTTAAATAAGTAATAATCGTATCGCCTTTTAATGACAAAATGACAGAATACCTCGGTGCTGGAAGTCGAGAAGCACTGGGTCTGGCTAGTCCAGTAGGCCGTGCAATACCACTTGTTTTCCGAACCGGTTCTGGTTTCACAAAAACCGGTTCCTCGTTTGGCCTGCTAGTTGGTACCCTGACAGGGGCCCGTAAGTTGGTGGCTGACACTCGAGCAGAACCTAAGGGCCCTAAAAAACGTGTTTTTTTTCAAAATCATAAAATGATTCAAAGATTTAAAAAAAGTTTCAGAAATCATGAAAATTATTGGGGATTTATATCCCATTCCAAGATTCAAGAAATATATGAAAAGTAGCAACGCGTCTGTAAAATAAGTACCTATCCTACCCCGACAAAAGAGCCACTTTTTTATAAATGGGTCCCAAATGGTCCAAAACGGATTTTTTACTAAAGCACTTTTGCTCTAAGAGCACTCAAAGTGGGTCAAGAGCCACTTTGAAAAGTGGCTCGCGCGGAGATGTTAATTTTGATTTTTAACACACTTAAAATATTCAAATAAATTTGAAAAATTTTACGTAACCCAGGGGCACCTAGACAGTGGTCCTCAAAAAAATTTGGACCTCTAAGTTGACCGGCGCGCGGGTGGTACCCAAAAAACATCAATATTTTTTTTAGTATCTTAATTTGCGGCATGAAGACGACCTCTACTCAAAATGTCACATGAGTTTAAAGTTATAGCCAGTAAAATAATGAGTATTTATTCTTTTGGGTGTGCACCTAAAGCACAAAAAATGCGGCCTCCAGAGCCTCGGGAGCCGTTAAGAGCCACTTTGAAAATTTCCCCGGACCAAAGAGCCATTTTTTTTTGGAAATGGGTCCCAAATGGTCCAAAACGGATTTCTTACCAAAGGCGATTTTGCTCTAAGGGCACTCCAAGTGGGTGAAGAGCCACCGGCTCTTTGGTTAAATTTAAATATTGATTGATCGATTGAGTTGGTTTACGTTAGGTTACGATTTGGTTTATTTTCATATTTAGAGTGCTCTGAGAGAAAAGTGAAGAAAAGCAAAGATGTAGAGGGAGGTTACATACCGGCAGCTGAGGAATCGGCCGCCGTTTTTTCAAAAAAGTACGAATTTTGAAACGCGATTTACGGCATGAAGACAACCTCCAATCGCGATGACTCATAAATACAAAATTGTTTGCAGTATATGAAAATGGTATACGTTGCAAGGTTGGAGGCTGTATCTCGGTCCGTTTTTGAGCTATCAAAAAACCGAAACATGTTTTAGATTCCTCAACTCCAGCTGATTCATATTCTAAAAAAATTGTTAAAAAACGTCAAAAATGACGATTTTGGAACAAAATGACCAAAACCGTCGAATCTGAGTTTAACTTTAAACTTGACTTGTTAACAATATGTATCTCAGTACAAAATCTGGCTAGAAACGAAATATAGAATTGCTCTAGGAGCAAAACGCATAAAAGCAAACTTGTAGAGGGAGGTAATATCTACGCGCACACAAAAAATTGGATATGTATTGTTAGATTGTATGGCCCATAAACTTTTGGTATTTAAGCAACAAATCTAAAAATTACATTTTTGAAAAGGCCTTGAAAATGGATTTATAAAAAGATGCCTGTAAAGGGTTAATATAGCGTTTTTAACTGTAATTTTTCTTAATACCGGTTTTTCAAGGGGGGTGAATCCCCAAAAAAAGTTCACCCCCCTTGGATAAACCTTCACTACGCCCCTGAATGTGACACACTTTTTTAACTGTCTTATTTATTGTTTGTTTTTTTTTGTAAAAAAATTTCATTTCATGCATTATAAAAAAGTCAAAAACAAAAGTTGATTTCTAATTAGAAATTTGAAATAGAAAGATGTAATTGAAATCTTAAATTTTTTTTTTTTTCAATTCTATATTAAGAGGAGACATTAAAAAGTATTATTATCTCTCATCATTATCATTGTTTTTGTTAGACAGGGTGTCCCACGACACATAACAGTTAGAATACGACATGAAGGTAGTATTTGATCTAATGGTTTGGGGCATTTCTTTTAATTGCCAACCTAATTCTACAAAAACATTACAAAACACCCCAGAAACAGAAACAGAAACATCAATCCTGATCCTGGAATTATCAAAATGTGGTCTGGTTGTTCTGTGCTCTCTAAATTACCAAAAAGTAGGTGTTATTTTGAAACTTAAAATCTGAACGAAATTCTTAACATCTTCGGTAATATTGAAAGCACAAAAAGGCAGACCACATTTTGGACAACCAGAACTAGGAGAATTTTATCACAATTTATTTAAAAATTATGAAAGTAAAATAATGCCACAAACTATTATAAACCTTGAAGAAGACCTTCGATTCATCTGCTGACTGTCTGTTTCGTGAGAAACCCTGTACTAATATTAAAAAAATGTACCTTGAAGCCTTGAAGGAGGTTGAAGTTTAGAATCTGAATTGTATCGTATCTGAGAGAGACCGTACTGTGGGCGTACCAGAGCACCCTGTCCAGCCCCTCCCCGCCCTCTCATCTTGTTCAGGTTTGGCATGGAACGACGGGTATCTTAAAAAGGTTATTTTGATAAGGTGAAAATATTCTTAATGTGATTGACTTCAAACAATTTGAAGTTGCAATGCGTTTGACTAGTTTATTAAAGACTATTATGTGCATAAAGGAATTATGTTTTTGTCACAAACTCATATTTTCTAATCCCTTCTTTGTAACTTGATGTTGTAGACCTCTGATATTTCAAACTAGGATTTCTGTCAGTTTAAATAATCTAATTTGAAAATTTAATTTGCAAAGATAAAGGGATTAGAAAATTTAAAATTGTGACAAAAACTCAATTCCTTAATGTCAAAGTTTTCTAAAATAAAAGGTAGACGTACTCTGTATACTAGGGTGACATACGAACTGGGTTAAATTTTTTTGGGGTGCATAGGTTCCATGAGTGATGTTTATTAGGTAGAAGTTGTTTTGGGGGTTTCGACAAAATCTTGATTTTTGGTGATGGTCAATGACCTCCGATCCCAAATTTTCCTTGTGATCCGAGTAGAGAGCCACAATGGAAGGCTGCATGTAAAATTTGAGCCTTTTATCTCAATTTTTAGAACCAAATGCAGCCTGTACAAAATTTGGTGTTGCAAAGTGTTGAAGTACCCCCTTATCCTTAACAAAAATCGAGATTTTTTACTGCAATTTCTTCCGCCTAAGTTCAAGTTAGAGCGAATATGTTTTTGTATTTCAATATTAAGGAATGACATTATCTGGAGAACCTTTGCACCTTCTGATTTTATTACTTTACTTCTTCGTGTGTCACCCTAATGTATACTGTTTAGGCCCCAACCCTAGCAATATCAATGATAAATCCAAAATATTGCTTTTTGTAAATATTGTATTAAATTTAAGTATTTATTTTTCAACTATGATTTTGTGATCTTTCAAGCGAATAGAAAAGTTTCTACAAACACATTGTGTTCACAGTAATGAATATTTCTATTAATTCAAGTTTTTACAAAATTGGGACATGTATTTTGTCTAATATGCCTCATGCAAAGAATTGAGAAAACTGAAGAAAAACAAAATAAATCTTTCAGACAGTTAAGAAAGGTATTTTACGGAAATATGAATTCTTTAAATGGAAAAAGAAAAGTTTCAGACAAGTAAAAAATACCGAAAAAGATCATCGAGTTAAAAGACGATGAATGAATTATTTTTAAGATTGTCAATTAACACACTAAAAATACGTACAGGTACATTTACAAAATGTTTATCTACCTAACAAAATAATTTAAAATATTTGTATGCGTAGTTAGATTAATGTACGCATTATCTACTATGAGAAGCGAATTTCTCTTTAACTGGTCAAATTCTGATGCGTCACGGAAAATTGGATTTGTTTTGCGTATTAAGTAAAGACCGATCTTAACTGTAGATATTACTGAAGGTCTAAACAAGATTACAAGTCTAAGAACCATTGAAGAAGAGACATGTTCCGCTTTATATTTTTGATTATTCAGATACAGGTATTTTGAGTTTTTTTTTAAATCTAGAATTTCAATTTATACACCAAAAATATCTAAGTTACTACAGATATTTAAAAAAAAATATTTGAAACATTTTTTGATTTAATAGTAAAAAAATGAACATTAGATTGCATAGTTGTAAACCTAATTCCCTTCTGTATTGGAGACTCCAAGTCAGTAATCAATGTATTATAAATATATAAACCCTTAATTCATAATTAATACTTTCTATATTGTCCCAAGGTTCTATTGGTGTGTAGTTTAAGAACTGAAACAAAAACAAGATCTGAAGATTCGTCATCTGAGCCAATATCAGAGAATAAGGTAAACATGTAATCAAAAACATTATTCGAGAGTGAAAAATGTTTAAAGTTTGAACCGACTCAGTGAGTTTGTTGAATTGGTTTAACTTTATTAGATTACGACTTAATTCTGAGAAAAATTTGTCCATCATTATTTAAGACTTGAGGTTTTTTTTTAGTCTTTTGACAATTTATTTCTATCCACAATGATATTTAAGTTAAATCAATGGTTATCAGGAGCAGTTTGTCCAGCAGAGAGAAGTTCCAATTTTAAACGAAGAATTACCGAAGAGAACTGAGCCTGGTAACAAAAAAGGCAGGGAAGGAAAATCACTGTTGGTAACCTCCAGGAAGGTAACCAGGGTCAGACTTGGAAGGTCTGCCGAGCTTAGCAGAAGAGTAACTGATCAAGATGAAGAAGATGAGGATGGTGTTAACAAGCCCTTAGCAGCTGTTAACAGAGAGGTAAGAAGATATGGGAAAAGACTACGGGCGAAGACCAGGCTGGTTACTAGGGGCCGTGTAGACAGATCTGCAGAAAAAGATGTAAACCAAAGTAAACTTAATGAGAATGAGCTGCGTAGTAGAGAAACTGATCAAACAAATGATGATGATAATGGCATCAGAGAACCAACTGAACCTGTTAAAAGAGAGGCAAGAAGTTTAAAATATACAAAGAAGCCTGTCACAAAGGTCAGGTTTAGAAGATCAACTCTAGGAGAAGAAAATTCTGATCAGGCACTAAATCCTTCAGACAACATAGCTGGCAATCATTATGATGATGAAATGAAATATCATAGGAACAGAGACAATGAAGACAGAGATGACGATGATGGAGATGATGACGATGATGACGATGATGACGATAATGACGATGATGACGATAATGACGATGATGACGATGATGACGACAACGATGATGATGATGATGATGAAAAAGATGATGATGACAGAGAAGATAATGATGATAGAAAGAGTGACGGAGAAAAAGATGTCGTTAATAAAAATGATTTTTATGGCCTAAAGGACGCTGAAAACAAGGTCAAAGTTTTACGATTGAAACGTGGACATTATTACAAGGAGATATTATGTGCCTGGACACATCTGGCCCATTACTGCATTTAACCTGAACTGTCTCTAGAATTAGTAAGAGACAATCCCTTTAAAAGATCAATTCTGGATTCTAATTAGACCAATAAATCCATCTCTGCTTAAATAAAATAGTTACATTAGTTTTTTTTTGAACGACAAATTTTCAATTATAATTGTTCCAAAAAACCATCTCTGAAAAAAGAAACTTTTAAAAGACCAATGCTTAACTATAAAATTGTAATCGGTCCAATTCACATCTCTATCATTTCATCGTTTGTTTTTAGATTAGAATGAACTTTGATGAGGAAGTTGCATCATTGATCAATGATCAGATAAACCTCGAGTTCAGGGCTAGTTATATATATCTATCCATGAGTGCCTGGTTTGCGGGGGATAATCAAGCTCTCACAGGCAAGTGGCCCATTACTGATAAATGGACTGTCTATGCAATTTTAGAAAATTCTTCATACACAATTCTCAGTAGTTACGTTTACAGTTTTATATATACTTTTCTTATATACAGTAAGACTCAAAAACTGTGGAATAATAAGACTTTTAGCTTTAAGATTTGACTTTATCCCGCAATGAACTACCTTAATTGTGCAGTGTAAACAGACCTATTTTCTGCATAAGTTGATTTTCAAGCTACTAGTAAAACTATTGCTTCATAACAACATCAAACACACAATCGATTGATGTTGTCTTTATCATTATTTTTAAATATTTAACAAATTTAAATAACATGAGAATTGTGATTACACAAGAGAATTGTAAAACCCTAACATCAAAATTAGAATTTTTTCCTTTTCAAATAATTAAATAACAATGAATATTTTCAGGGTTCGCTAAACTGTTTAAGGGAAATTCTGACGAAGAAAGAGATCATGGAATTAGACTGATCAATTATATGGCAGAAAGAGGTGGAACTGTTCAATTTAAGGAATGTAGTTATTTAAAAAAAACTTTAAATTATCTCTAGGTGAATTTTAAAGTAGGCATGGGATTGCTTTGATGCATTTAAAGTAACTACTGAGGCTTTTGAAATCAAAAAGTGGTGACATAAAAAGAACAAAATCAAAAATTCAAAAATTTTGCATATTTAAAATTACTGAACATCAAAAAAAATAGGACAAGACAAGTGAATATGAATATCAGGGTTTCTTCTAAATGACACATTGACCCTTCAGACAATTGATGAACCAAATATCCTGAAATGGGGAACTCCAACTCAAGCGTTCAAGGTAATAATACTTTTTGAGCAGTTTCTGACTTAAAATATTTTTTCTTTTATCCTTCCTTCCATAAAATTGGTATTAAAGCTTATGCTTTTCAAAAAAAACTTGACGGTATCATTTTTTTCAGGCTGCCCTTGGTCTAGAAAAGGCAGTAAATCAAGCATTACTCGACCTTCACACTAAAGCTAGCGAAAAGGTAAACAAATTTTCTCGATTAAAGTTCTGAAAAAAACTCCGTGCTAAAGGGACTTTGTGTGAAAGCCTGGATCAAGTAATAAACTTATAATTTTCTAAACTGATTATTTTTCATTGTGTTTTATCTACTCAAGTGACCTGGGCGTTTCTACTGTGCAGTAAAACAGATAGGAAATGAATTATCAAAATTAAACACTTGAAGCCTGGAAAAACAACAATATCTTCCATATTATTGACAGTGTACCATGTAAATCACGAAGGTTGACTTGAAATTAAGATTATAGTTCCTTAAAAATACATTTATTTAAATTAGGGGGACGCACATCTCACCAACTTCCTTGAGGAGTTCTACCTGACTGAGCAGGTGAAGGAGATGAAGAAGATTGGGGATATGCTCACCAGACTAGACAGAGCTGGGGAAGGAATAGGACTTCATATACTAGATCAGGAGCTACTTCATGCATAACTAGTTCTTAAATGATCACAAAACCCATCATTTCTATAATAAACGATCTACACAACTGTTTCAACAATATATATTATCTACACCTGCCGACCAAATGGCAAAACTGAATAAAAAATATATCAAAATAAAATAATTAATGTTATCATGTTCTAATTTAATTTTTAAGGATTGTGTGAAAATCAAATCTTAAGAAACCAAAATTGAGAGAGACGGAGAGAAAAAGCTTTGTTTTGTATTTTGAATTAAATATTACTTTTTTTTCAAATTTTCGCTTTTTGTTCTTAAACTTTATTTCATCCGAAACGAACTTAATTGTTAAGTCATTTGTGGTCTTATCTTATATATAGCCTTTGTTTGGAGTTATAATGGGGGGGGATGAACATTGAGCACCGAACGAGACTGTTAATAAATTTTAAGATTAAAACCGATGTCAAAATTTGTCCTTATCTAGGTATTCTTATCGACCTAATACCCTACTAAGTAATTAGTGACAATGCTAGTTACTATGCATAGATAAATAATGCCATGAGTAATTTCGACTCCCTGTTAATAATCAGGATATATTGTATACTCCCACCCCTCTCTCTCTCCAGCCAACTTCATAAATAATTCAAGCTTAACAGAGACTAATCTTTCTTCAGAAGGATACAAGAAACAATACTACCTCCTACTAGATGAAGGGGGGGGGGGGAGAATAAATATAAAAAATTGAAAAGGTAAAAGTTAGGTAACAACGATAAGAAGGGGAGAAAATAAAAAGAAAAAATGAAACGATACTTCAGGCTAAAATATAATAAAAGACTCTGATTTTTAGACACAACCAAGGATATTCCAGAAGCCAAGCTAATAAATATAAAGCAAAATTTTAGGAAGACAATGATGAAGAAAGTGATAAATCTAAAGGTTTTCCTTATAATTATTAATTAAGATTAGGCATCTATAAATGCAGACTGGGAACCCAGCTTTGCCTAGAAATTTAAGTTTTCAGTATTTAAGTTCAACCACTGAACAATCTAAACACATTTCCGTGGTTATAACGAGTTAACTAATCAAGGCAAATTGGTTAAGAGGGTTCCTGAATTATGATCAGACATGAAAACAAACAGACAGATAAAGATTATATGTATACTAGCTTAAGGGCCCGGCGTTGCCCGTGGAAATTTTTTTTAAAAATGTTGAAAAATGAAGAAAATTAAACTAAAGCGAGTGGAAAATTGCCGGTAGAAACAGTGGGGAAAAACAAACACTTGTATAATGCACCTAGATGGACAAAAACCTTAAAAGGTAGCTAGAAAAATAGAAATAATGAAATTCTACATTCAACAATTTAACAGTAAAAACATTGAAATCGGATAAAACGAAATGAAAGAATAAAAAAATTGTATATTCCCTACCAGGTCCCTGGGATGTATGCGAGTCCAGGCTCTGTGAACTGTACGGGGAATCTGGTAATGAATCTTGACTACTGTACTGCTCGTTACTGTACTGTTTGTTATTGTACTGTCTGTACTGAGGGTTCCCTCGTTCCTCACCTCGCTGGGGTTCAACTCGACCACCAACCCCTCCTTCCGAACCACAGGAACCCTAGGATTTACGAATATATTATAATCCTACTCACTATTAGTGGATGTTATACATTTATCTTGGCTCCAACTTGGTGTATTTTTAAACATGCAAGTTTTAAATGGTTTTCTGAAAAATTCTTACTAAACCATCAATTTAATTTGTGAACTGAGGGCGCCAATGTCATGAAACCCGTATTTCTGTTTCACTTTTGCACCACCTCTTAATATAAAAGCCCGTATGTAATCTATTTATGATTGCAATTTTGGAGCTGGTCAAAAACCCCTCTCTGGCAATGCTATGGATGTTTTGTTATTTCTTGACGCCCTGAAATTAAAGAAAAAAAATACCTCCGACTGATATCCACCTCCCTCCTCTCCCTGGGGACTACATAAACTAGCCTCCGAACTAGGAGAGATCGTCGCTGAAATAAAAATATTATTTTTATGTTATTTTTATAGTATTCTTATTTTAAACCTAAGATAGGTAAAAATAAAATATAAATCTGAAATAAAACTGTAGAAAGCAGTTATCTGCAATGCTACCAAAATCTTTGAATTCAAATCAAATACAGCTTAAAGAAACTATATCTGCAAACATTTTTAAAGTAAAGGTGGAGGGTAGTGATGGGCAATAACTTTTTAAATGGTTCAACTTAAAAAAAATTTACGAAACAATCTCAGAAACTTACAAATTTTTAAATTGTTCTTTCAAAATCTGATTTTATTTTAAGTGTCAAAATTTTAGCCTAAGGTGGATGCAGCTTAAAATGAATTGAATTATTTTATGCTTTGATGTGTAATATGAAATATGTTTGATGTAGAAGACGAAGTATGTTCTTGACAAGTTGGAAATGTGAATTGTCAATTCTTCTAACAACAACCTTTCAACTACTTTTATTCAATTTCTCTTATTCAAATAGAAAGCAAGAAAAATCAAGAAAGAGTTGAAAAATTGCTTAGAAATGTTTGAATCAGTTCATTTTCAAAGCAAATGTACAAATAACTTTTTACATCTTTATTTTAATCAGAAAGAAACGGGTTTTTAAAGTGAAATATGAAAAATAAAAGGGAAAAAGATTGAAGTATCTAATTAAAGAAATTCAAGTAAAATTTAATAAAGGAAATGTTTCAAGGATCTCATAAATTCATAAAATAATTTCACTGTACAAGTACAGTACAGTGTAGTACAATAAACATATCCTAGTATAAACATAAGGCTGGTTCCCTTTAACCCCCCCCCCCTCTCTCTCTACACACATGTATATAGTATAACAATACTAATGAACAGCATTAAACTGTAATATTAAAAGGAAATATATATAGACTTAACTTTAAGTGACCCTCCATTTTAAAACAACGGACATGTCCAATTCAGAAAGGGCCTTTCAAACATTTATCTGAGTGACAATGAGAAAGTTTTTAAGATATCATTGAACATTTGTCTGAGTGACAATGAGAAAGATTTTAAGATATCACCAAACATCTGTCTAAGTGACAATGAGAAAGATTTTAAGATATCAACAAACATCTGTCTGAATGACAATGAGAAAGATTAAGATATCATCTTATTTCTGCATCATAAATCCTTTTGTCACGTTTATAGAAAAAAATGTCAACGAGAAAACTGAAAAATCAGAAAACTGTTTAAAAGGTACAGGTTGTATATGGTAAATGCAAATTACGTAACAACCCCTTAACGTGCATGAAACAAGTGTTTATCCTATCAAATAATGAATGCGACACTGTTATCATATTTTACAACATTATGCACTAAAAAACCTTAATACTATTATTCGTCATTATATAGTTCATACACCAGGATTCAAGGCAAGGGATATCTTTAAAAATCCATCGACATTCAACAAAATAACATGTTATTACAATTTGTAAATGTTTGTAAAAGTTGAAAAGAAATTAAATCTTTGCGAACAGATAAAAACATAAACTATTATATTGCCATTTTTGTGATTTCATGATTTCGTTCAGAATAAGACATTTTTATGGTTATATTCAACAAATTGAAATTTGAACAAAATTTCTAATATCTCTGGTATTTTGCGAGAAAAAATGGAAGATCACATTTAGGAAATGATAGGATTCGGGCTATTTTGTGATTATTGTTTAATAAAAAAAATATTGATAAAATCAGTTATGAATGCCGTAAAATGTTTCTAAGGTCAAAGACGACTCTTAAGTCATCAATCAATTTATTTTTTCCTGGTTATTTCGAACATCACTGTATATGTATGTAAATGAAATTTATTTTCAGAAAATTTTCTTTTAAGGAAAAAATTACCTGATCTGTTCTGAAAACTGGGAGGATGCCGCAAACCTAAAAATAAAAATAACTTTTATGTTGCTAATTCCTGGATTAAGCATTATCCCAGCTAGATCCCTAATATTGCCGTCACACCTGCTATTTCTTCGGATAGTGTACTGCAAATTACTGCAGTACGAACCATAAGCTTAGTTTAGAGTATTCCAAAAAGGATTTTATTAATTTTTTTTGGATTTAAGTCGAAACCCAGCAGAGCCGGAAATTTAAAAGTATCGTTGAATAAAATTCCCGAGTTTCCATTTTGGGGTTTACAGATTTGTGCAGATATTAATATAAGAACCAATAAATGATAATACATTACAAAATCAAGCATATAAAATGATATTTCGAACCAAAAACTAAATTATTTTACCCCATTCACGAAACCTGGGTTCCGGTACCGGGTTTCTAGACGATACTAGTAGACCGCTAAATAAGTTCCATTAATTGGTCCATGCCGTATGTCTACCTACTGTGGCTCTTGTACCGTACTGCATTGGGTCGGTACAAGGGGCCCGTACGAATTTAATTTGACTAGAATTTGAATGTTCATATTTCTCTTTTGCAGATGGTTAATTTAGTAATTCCTGTTTATTTTTGACCTTAGATGACGTCATGTTGTGACGAAAATTTCAAAAGAAGATATTTTTAAGTCATCAATAGTTTCTAGAATTGAAACTTTGTTGTGAGGCCTCATGGGAGATCAGAGTAGAATGTATATATTCAATTCAGACTCTACGATGTTTGACCACACTAAATTATTCATACCTTACTTAGATAATTAAATAGATAGATAGATAGACAGATAGATAGATAAAGATAGACATAGATTGAGTTAGGCAGATAGAGCTGAAAACTTTAGAATGAGATATCCTTAATCCTGATCGGTTAATATGAATATCCAATGTACACACTTTTGATTTTATTCTTAATCCTCTTTTTGGATATTTCTACGGTATAAAAGTTACGAACGGTTGATAACAATTACAGATACAATGCTATATCGATTGGACAAATATCCGATTGAATTAAAGTCAGCTGTTCACAAGCCGGCTTTTAGAGCATTTAAGCAAATAAAAATATAATCATGTTAATATGAAATTATTAAAAACATATTTTAGGACTATTGTCATTTTGAACGTTAGTCTTAATAAACATTAATCCAAAACTTACGTTCGTTCAATCGGTGTTTAGTTCAATTGATATGACACCATCAACACCAGAAATCAAAACCGGTTTTTCAAAAGTTAAAGAGTACATCTTAACATCACACGCTGATTGGCTAAATTTTTAACATCCTCCTTGGATATCGAATACGTATTAACATAATCTAAGGTTTAGTAAAACCAAGAGTTTAAGCATTAGTAGATAAATAGAAGAAAAATGTCGAAAATTTTATTTCAGGAAAAAGAATTAATAAAACTTGAAGAAATATTAATGAGTCGGATCAGGATCAATTTTCTACGGGACCTGGCTCCGCTAAACAATGGAATGGTTGTTAAAGGGACAGACCGGCTATGTAGGGTAGTTAAACTGAGTATACAGTGTTGTGGACAAACTCTTTAGGATTCATTTGAGACATATAAAAACTTTTCAACTATTATAATTACTGAGTTTGAGTGCATAGTAGACGTTCAAGATCATGATTGTGGGTGGGTACGTTTTCAGAATCGTTTTTTAATTATTAAATACGGCGACGAAAAATGAAGTAAAAATTATACAGTAAACTAATTAGATGGTTAGGAACATATTTCTCAAAAGAAATTTGTCAATAAATCAATGTTAAAATCAATTATTTCGTTTCATCATTATATTAAATTTCTTATTTTCTATGAATTTGTTCGCAGATTTCTACAAATTCTTTAAATGTCGTCTTTGCCATAATTATTTCAGAAAATCTGCAGACAATCTTTGTGAATAATGAGAAACTAGAATAATGGGAAAATAGAAACTAATAATTGAAATTACTTATTTTCGATGATAAGATTAATTTTTTATTTTCTCAACCTGTTCCTTAAAACTAATTAGTTTACCGTAGAATTTTGTTTACATTTTTTGTCATCGTCATATAATAATCAAAATAAAAACAATTCTGAAAACGTATCCACCCAAAAGTACGATTTTGAACGCCGACTTTGCGCTAAAACTCGGGATTTACAGATCTTTAAAAGTATTATATGTCTCAAATAAATCCTAAAGAATTTGTCCACAACACTGCATGTGATTATGTGATTATGTGATTATGTGATTATGTGATTATGTGAGATGAGATCTGCAAGAAGCCCCATCTTGGGCAACCCAGACCACCTGCAGGACTATCCGACCCCTACCTTATATAGCCGGCCTGTCCCTTTAAGCACTGGTTAGAAATACAGATATATGCAGATAAATTGAATCACTCCAGCCAAATATTTGCTTCATTAAAACATTAAAGAAATAAAATGCAGCTTAGGTCTGGACCTGCTTCCCACTACACTACTTATGGCACTCATTACAATTACGCTGAAATATGACAATTCGCCCTTAAAGGTTGCAAATCAATGATTTTAAATCATGGGTCGCTTGAAATGGCGTTGACAGTCCCTTTTAAAATTGATTTAGTTGAGGATCTGAACTGTAAGATTTGTAGGTGTTAAGACCGGTTGGTTTCCGATAACTTTTTGTTAAGAAGTTTTATGGATGTTTTTATAGTTGTTAATTTGTTTCAGTTTTTAGCTTGTCGCCCACAAACTTCTTCTAAAACATGACGAACACTTTTAATCATTTCCTGGTCTTAGTACCTTGAGTCTAGTGTCAAGTTTCCAGCTTAAACATTTAGGTGTCTAGTGATTTGTGTCCACTGTCCAGTGTATATTGTATTCCAACTTTCCATTTTTCAGTTTAATGTGTCCAGCGTCCAGAGTACAGGATCTAGCGTCTGGTGACCAGTATCTAGCGTCTAGTGACCAGTGTCTAGTGCCGTGCCGAGTGTCAAATGTCCAACGTCTAGTGTCTCATATCTAGTCTTAAAGTTTATGTACCAAAAATATCCGAGGAAGTATTTAGGGGGGAATGTAATCCAAAATAAGTTTCTATTCGTATTATCGAGTTTGTGGTTTCTTATCAATTTACGACACATTATGATAAAGATTATTTTTTTAAATATCAAATATTACACATAGGCATATTGCATGACAGTGGCTGCGTTGTTGAAATAAAATGAAGAAGGTCAAATCAGCAGAGTTTAATGCGGCAAAAAATCTTGTGAGGCAAGTAATTTATTTATTGACACAAAGAAAACACAGAGATTAAGGGAATGAAGGAGGGGGGGGGGGGGTTGACCTCTGTAATAAAGTAATAAATTATAATGAAGAAACTGTTGTACAGAGGAAATTCTAAAAAAAAAGGGTGTTGCCACTTGACTATATTGTGGGGAAAGGGTGTCTTAAGTTATTTTTGATTTAGTATGCTTTGAGTGGAACTCTACACAATGGAACCTTAAAAACACTCGTTTAAGTAAGGAAAAGAATTCCTTGTATAAAATAGCGTAGAATTTTTTCTCGAATTCGAATAGTCTTCCTTAAAAAGAAAAAACTTACTTTCTTCCTGCATCCTTGCAACATCCTGGACATCCTGGACATCATTCAGACGATGGCTGACACTCATTGAATCCGACAATCCGGAGGTCGTTGACAACCTGAAATATAGTATAAACTTATTTATATGTCTCTGACAATACCGGATAAGATACAAAGGTCGTAGATACAGGGGGTTTAACAGTATAAAATTGTAATTGACTGCCTTTATAAACTGAATATTACAAATAATTAAATTAAATACTAAAATACAAATAATTGATTTTGCAATGTAAATAGAGCTGAAAACTTTAGAATGAGACATCCTTAATCCCAATTACTTAATCTGAGTATCCAATGGACACAATTTTGATTTTCTTCTGAAACCGTTCTTTCTTGGCTATAGTAGAGAAAAATCAAACCCGGTTTTTTTTCAATTAGAAAGTCTCCCTGTTTCGGTATATAATCTTAAATGGCACGCAAAATTTCAAAAGTATCGGCTGCATATTCGCGACTCTGATTGGTTGAATTTTATACACTTTTCAGGGTACAAGTACAAGATTAGGTTAGTCTCGATATTAAGAAAAAGAGAGGATCAAGCATTAATCTCGATATCCACCATTCAAAATTTTTCAGCTAAGGTCATTTACAACCCCAAACATATTCAGAATATCCTGTTGTTGTTATATCAGTATTAATACAAATGGGTTCCAACTGTATACAATAGCTGCTAGCATGTCATCCCAACACGCTTTTTATGTAATGGCGATTTGCTGTCCAGTATCAAACCTATGTATCTAATGATCAATCATCTTTATAGTAAAGCTATTCGCTAATATATATATATATATTTGTATGTATATATGTATGATCAATCATATTTATAGTAAAGCTATTCGCTAATATATATATATTTGTATGTATATATGTATAGGTATATGTCAACTGTCAACTATAGCTGGCCAAACGGCTGGACCGAATGGGCTGACATTCGAATTTCTTTTCCAAAATACTAAAAAAATCTCTTCAAAATTAGATTTAAACCTTTGTCTGAACAACAACAGTGAAATTCTAGTTTTTCTTTCTGAAAATATTTCTTAATTGTATTTTCTCTTTAACCGTAACTTGCAGAATCATAAAGCAGAGAAGTGAAGAGAGATGAAATTAACAGATTTAAACATGTTTCAAGAAAAATAGTGATGTATTCACTATTGTAGCTTAAATAAAGATGAGAGAACGTTATGAATGTAAGTCTGACCTGCAACTATTTAATTGGGAGGTAACTTCAAAAATTATGTTGAGAGTCCCTTTAAAGTTTGTGAATATTTATTCGCAAATAACAAATGGTAGGATATGACCTTCCACCTTTCACCCCTGGACCGAATGGGCTGACATTCGAATTTCTTTTCCAAAATACTAAAAAAATCTCTTCAAAATTAGATTTCTTTTAAATTCCAGGGACAAGGCCGAGTATTTCAGCTAGTATCTAATAATTTACCTATCTAACTCGGTAGATAAACCGTCCAGATCCTCTAATAATCCCTCTTGGCTTGAACCTCTGGATAACCGGTTCCTAAACAAAACAAAAACACTTGTTAAAGGGACTGTTTTTATAATTTTAAACGACCCTACAAATAAATAGGACAATGTCAGATTTAAAACGAACCATTTTTTCTTGTCTTGTCCCTATATCTTTATTGTGTAAATCTTTGATAATTCAGATTATTTGATCTAACAGAATTCTTAGTTTGAAATATTTAACATCTACGACAGTCGACATTGGGTTGAAAAGATCTAGGGGAAATCAGAGTTTGTGGCAAATTCCTTTATCACATGAATTAGGACAAATATTACTAGGACAATAACAAAATCTTTTCTTTTAAATCTGGATGAAAATAATATTAAAGTAAACAAGAAACGGAAAAGAAGTATCTTGAAACAGAAAAGGATAAGCAAGAAGATATCTAATGCAGAGTGTTTAGAAACTTCAGAATGTCCTTTTTTTAATATGATATTCTCAAAGATGAAAGAACTCTAAAAATCAGTTTAAGACTGATAAATCATGAAAACAAAATGACATACAAAGAGTAAACGAAAATTCAAGTGACCATCTATCTGTAGAGAAGCATGTTCGGTTAACTTTAAACCTTTTTTCTAGTTTAAAACCGGGATTAATTATGAAAACTTTCTTCTTTGTTTACGAAACAGAAATGCGCAATCAATAAAAAGAGAACCCATTATTGAAAAGCAAGGCAATATGTAAATGTAAAAAGCACATACATAACAACACTAGTCCATGTAAATAGTATAGGAATAAGAACATCTCATTAGAAATCACGTATTTCAAGGTAATGAAATTAGAAGTACTAAAATAGAACTTTCAAGAACAGAGAAAACAATTAAAATCGGAGATTGCATTTAAAGGGAAAATAGATGGAATTGTAAACTGAAACCCTAACAATTTCTTCGTAATTTCGAATTCACGAAGAAAAAAACGAGATTACGAACAGAATTCTGGGAGATACTCCAAAACATTCTGTTCATAATTTCTAACAAAAAGTTAACCATTTCAATATTTTCATTATCTGTCTGATAATTTTATAAAAGTATGTTATGTAATGTGATATAAATAAAAACACTTGGCTTGGATGTATATAATATATATTACAAAACAACTGTCTGTCTGACAAATGATTCATGGAGTATAAAAATTCCTAAATTCAAAATAGAACAATAATAAGTTTAATTCTAAATTGTACAATGTACATATTTGCGTCTTATACGCAGTATTTTTGCTACGCCACACTTTCCTACTTTAAAGGGAACATTCATGAATTTAAATAAGGTTGATATAAACTACCGATGCTTCTTTAATGTTCATCCCCACCATTTCACTCGCAAATTTTTTTCAATCAAACTATTTAGATTTTTTCAAAATTGGATGTAAAACTCCTAAAACAAATGATTTAGTGGCATGTTTCAAGCGAAATAAAACTGTTAAGCCAATTAAAGGAGGGAAAATACCTTAATGTTGATTTCCCGCCTCTTAATTTTCAACCCCCCCCCCCAACCTCGGAGAAAAAAATATAAAAACTCACCCTGAGCTAGCAGAGCTGAGACGATCCTCGGACATTTTTCTCTGGTTCCTCTCCGCTAATTCATCCTTCTCGAAAGTTCTATTCGAAACCTCGGTGCTCTTGGCTTCAAATGTTCGGTTCGGAGCCTCGACGAATGTTCTGTTCGAATCCTCAAATGTCCTGTTAGCAGTTTCGAACGTAGAGTTTGGATTATTCCTGCTGAAAGTTGAGTTATATTTAACTCTATCACTAGTTCTCTCAAAGGTTAGATTTAATTCTGGGTTTGAGTTTAGGTTAGTATTGAATGTACTGTTTAACCCCTGCTCCGAACCAAGGGCTGCGTCGACGGTGTCGAAAGTATGGTTAAGTACGGAAGTTTCAGGTTTACCTATTGGTACAGATCCATTAATTAACCAATTCATTTGTTGTCATAGGTAGTGATGTCTAGAAATTTCAATTTCAATTTTACGATATATCGAGAAAAAATGACAACTTTAGTGCAATCTTTTAGAGCTAAAATTATTATTAAAAACCTGGTTGAAATATAAACATAATACAATCATCTGTATTCCTAATTCTACAGTAGTATTAAGCTGTGATGTTCCGTAGGCTAATCTGTAACAAGAAAACAATTTTATTCACAAAAAAATACAAAAGGAAAACTTTAAATAATTCTTAAGAACATAAACCCCATTTTAAACGAGAGAATTTTACAGAAAAGCTTAAAATTGAAATATAAAAAAAATGTGTAAATATTTAGAAGTGAGTCACTATGGACTTTATACTTGGAACTACTTCTCTTCAAAGCTAATAATATCATCAACTAAACCATTCTTAATAATCTTTTAACAATATAACCTTAGATATCCGTTGTCTCTTGATGATTTCCTAGATTGACCTCCGTCACTGAGCTGACCTCCCTCCGTAGTATAATATCCTACCCTGGCCTCCTCTGTAGGATAGGTTAGGGAGGATATTCCCCGGCTTCCACGAGAAAATGTCCGAGGATCAAATGCAGATCTAAATTCACCATTTTAAAAATTAAAACAAAATGGATGACATCTACAAAATCCACTTCACAGAAATATGTAAAATGTATAACAAATCAGCCATTGTAAAAAAAAAATGATTTCGTTAATAAATGTGCAACCTACAAAAAAAAAATCAAAAATAAATAAATAAACATTACCCTGAAATAATAATGACAATACATTTCAAAGATAAGTTTAAAAAACATACTGGACATAACCAGGACAGAAGTACAAAAATATCTGCAAACATTTGGTAAACAAAAAAAAATAAAAACATAACAATTTTAAATGTGAATTTGTGAAAGTATAAAATGAAAAGAATAAATGAATTGAAATGATAAAACATTGTTTAATTAAAAATAAATTGTTTCATCTAATTATTTAATTAATTAAGAAACAAATTAGAACTAATTTAAACTAATTTAAAATGGTATTTTCCTGGACTCGAACCCTCGATCAGGTTGTCTAGACTCGAACCCTCGATCAGGTTGTCTAGACTCGAACCCTCTGTCAGGTTGTCTTGCTGGTGTACTAGAGAGAATCTTGTAAGGAGAACCAAGAACGCTTCCCCGACTGCTTCCTGAATAACAATATATTAGAACTAGAAAAAATATCAATTACAATAAAATACAATTAGCTAAAATAAAAATAATCCACCAAAAAATATTATTCATTCAACAAAATATTTAAAACAAAAATATAACAATTGGAATAAATAATATTTTTCAAGCCAACCAATCAAATTTTTAGAAAGTAAAAACGACTCAGTCCAATTCTTAACTTCTTTCTTCAAATTCATATAGAAATGGGACGGGACCGGACCTTTTAAAGATTTTTTTTCAGGGATACCTGATGTATTTGGTGAATAAAGAGAATGCACTGGTGATCCTAAAATAAATATAATATTATAAAAAGAAAAACAGTATCATAACTAACAACCCCCCCCCCTTCCATAAAACTTGAAGTTACGCCCACACTGAATAATATCAGCGTCACTCTGAATCTGTTTACTAACATAATCTTTACTCACGTTTTGCAAGCTCATCAAGGCGGTGAACCAGGGACTTCTTTCTGGTTCCAATATCTTGAACTGTTTCCACGTCATGCCTGAATATATTCCACCAATAGTGCAGATAATACAGGGATATTTTAATCAGAAAATTACATATTTTAAAAATATTTTTTATAAAAAATGGTGAAAACATTTCGTTTTCTTAGAAAATGTATTAAAGTTGCAGCTTTCCCAGCACATGACAGTCAAAAAAATGGTCAATTTTCAGAGAGAAAAACAAATATCTCAAATATAGAATATTAAAATTTCAAGCTTTGGCAATCGTAATTTAGGAATGGGGTTTTAGAAACCCAAAGCAAAACGAATGGTCTTACTTCATTCAAAATGTAATCAAGTTTAATGTAAAATAAAAAATCTCATTTATACTGATAATCAATGAATTCTAAATGTTTCAGCGAAGACAATGAGAAAACTTCTATTTGATATTTATCCGCTAAACGAAATGAAAATCTAATATTGAGTTCTAGATTCTATTTTTATACATTTGCTTAAATATCATGAAATATCTTGATTATATGAATCATAAATTTGATACATCAGTGTCCGAATTCAATGAATTTAAGCCGCGTTTCAAATCCACCAAAAACCGGTTTCAATAAAGCGCCGGATTAAATTCAATACAATATTAAGTGGAACCAACCATATTTGAGCCGTGGCTTAAATTTAAACCGCAAATGTTTTTGCATATTTAAATTTTCCGTGGTGAGAGCTTTTCAATAATGTATAATTTATCATATTTTACGCACTTTTTGATTTTACACATTTTTGCTTTAGAACTTGATTGAAATAAAAAATTTTAATTTTGCAAATTTGCTATGTTTTTTGCAGGTCTTAAAGTAGAGCCCATGAGGCTTTCCAAAAATGTATCAAATGTTGTACATTTGTATCACAATAAGGAAGAAATAGAGGGAATCATTTTCCATTCTTCTAGTCACTGAGTCTCCCCATTTTTTACAATTTCATCTTTTTTTACTTTATCTTTAATTCTGTATTCTTCCTCCTTTTAGCACTAATACTTTGAATTATACTTTTTCCCCCTTTTTATTATTATTTCCTTTTTCTGTGCTTTTTTTTCCTATTTCTGGTTTCTTACTTCCCTTTCTGTGTTCTTTTTTCCTTTTTCTGTGTTCTAATTTCCTATTCCTGTATTATTTCTTCCTTATTCTGTATTTTTATTTTATTTTTCTGTGTTATTATTTTATTTTTCTGTGTTATTATTTTCTTTTTATGTGTTATTATTTTCTTTTAAAAATAAATTGTTTCATCTAATTATTTAATTAATTAAGAAACAAATTAGAACTAATTTAAACTAATTTAAAATGGTATTTTCCTGGACTCGAATCCTCGATCAGGTTGTCTAGACTCGAACCCTCTGTCAGGTTGTCTTGCTGGTGTACTAGAGAGAATCTTGTAAGGAGAACCAAGAACGCTTCCCCGACTGCTTCCTGAATAACAATATATTAGAACTAGAAAAAATATCAATTACAATAAAATACAATTAGCTAAAATAAAAATAATCCACCAAAAAATATTATTCATTCAACAAAATATTTAAAACAAAAATATAACAATTGGAATAAATAATATCTTTCAAGCCAACCAATCAAATTTTTAGAAAGTAAAAACGACTCAGTCCAATTCTTAACTTCTTTCTTCAAATTCATATAGAAATGGGACGGGACCGGACCTTTNCATACAATTATCATCCAAGTCACAATATCACTTTTGTTTTTAAAAAATAATCTACTCATACAATTTTAATCCATTTTTATGAAATATTCGCCGATTTTCAGAGAAGTTCGACCAAAAAGAACAAGACTTTGTCAGGTTACAAATATTATTTTGACCATTGCGTCTGTTCAGACGTTTTGTAATTAATTTGGAACTATCACCACAAGGAACAAAAGAAGAAAACATGCATATAAGATCATAAAACATTACGAACGGATGTAATGTAATGTTAAATTTAAGAATACTTTTAGGGCATAAGAACACCGTGCACCCTGCAGAATATCTTCATATTCACTTAAGATTGCTTCCTTTGTCTAGTAACAAATTTAGCTTTAAAGAGTTGATTTATAAGCCGCTATTTTTTCCGTATATAGTAAAACTAATAATCATGCTAATTGGTCACTTTGATTGATTTCCAAAAGAATCAAAACTCTAAATTTTTTCTGATCCAATTTTTTAATTTCTAAAAATTGTTCCCAATATGTTCAGCTGATTTCACGTTTTATGGATACAAACAAATCCACAAACAGATAATCAAATTATATAAAATATATAATACACATATATAGCCATAGACAATGCGTCCAGAGATTATCAAGAAATAAAACAAAACACAGTGAAAGTTGGGCAGATGACTTTACACTTGGACACAATGGGTCCCATAAACTATTAGATTACTGGCAGTTACTGGTTTAAATGTACTATGTACAGGGTGTCCCACATCAAATTAGACCGCGTCAAAGGGTCTAAATTACGATTTGTGGGACAAATCAGAAAATTTAAGAATAATGAATTATTTTGAAAAATTTAATAAGGCTAATAGAACATTTTTTTGCAGAAAATGCTAGATTTTTCGAGTATTATGTGCGTATTTTGGCGTTAAAGATTGGAGATAATCTAATATGACATGGGACGCTCAGTAGGTAGCCAGGGTGTCAACAAAACATCAAGTTGGGTTTAAAGAATAATCGTTTGCTGTATGGAGATTATTAAAGATGGAATAATATGACTTTATTTATTTCAGCAAATATCCACAATTCATCGGCAATTTAACCAACGATGATTTTAAACAAGTTAAATTGTTAATTTTTGTAACGACCTGTTAATTAAATAATTGTGGACAACTCAGGAACCTCTGGAACAATAGTTCAAATTTTGATTCGGAAACTCGGGAGAGCCACGGAAATATTCTTAGCTTAGTTTTGAGATTCTAAGTTGAATTCAAAATCTTAATTTATGACCAAGCGCGAGTAAATGGCGTGAGTATAGAGTAACACTTGTCAGGCAATTATTTAATATATTAGAAAAATGCTCAGTAGACCCTATGCTTAGTGTAACAAAAACCATGAATAAGTAAAATAAGATAAATTCCCTGACCACCAAAGTAGAGTATAAACTTGATAAACTGATAGAAAAACTCTTATACAGATTAAAACATTAACAATGGGCTAAAACTCAAATTAAGATAATTATCAGACCTAAAATGAAAATAGTAAAAAACATCAGTCCTTTCAGTTCCCTCCTCCTTAAAATGAACATAATGAACATAAATCTGTAAAGGACACAATTAAAAATGAACATAATGAACTTAAATCTGTAAAGGACACAATTAAAAATGAACATAATGAACATAAATCTGTAAAGGACACAATTAAAAATGAACATAATGAACATAAATCTGTAAAGGACACAATTAAAAATGAACATAAGATTTAAATATGGCTGGTTACACTTAAAATTGTATTCAATTTTTCAAGATTTAAGCCGGCGCTCAATTGAAACCGGTTTTAGAGGAATTTCAGACGCGGCTTGAATTCATTAAATTTGGACACACTGGTTCTATAAATGGTGAACCCTTAGACCTGAACTTAAAACCAAACCATGAAACTCCAAATCAGAAACACGGTTTTGAAATACAATTTTGACTTGAAATTTAATTTTTATGGCACATTTTTATTATTGTTCATATTTAGATTTTTTTCTATCTAAATCTTAACTTTAAAGGAAAAAAAATGGGAAGGAAAATAAATGGAATGAAAAGTCCCTAATATCCAAAAAATCTTGAATCTTCACAAAAAATGAACATCTTTTTTTCTTTTACATGTTGTAGACTAAATCCAAAATTGTGTTTGGTTGATTCGTCTTAAAAGCTTCCGTCTCCGTGTTAAAGTATAACAGGTGTTCAGAAAACCAGACTTAGATAGATAGTCCCCTCCCTAGCTCTTATACCCCCCCCCCGTCCCCCAACCCTAACTTCTTTCACCGCAGCTCAACCAACCTTACACACACACTTTAATTACACATCAAAACTTGTATATACAAATAAATAAAGTAGTAATATCTCTTTGTTTCGTTTGCTGTCGGATCATAACTCAGGAGCAAGAAAGCCGATTTGCCAATAATTTTGGAAGAACCACCGCCCAGGGGTGTATATTCTTAGCTTGGTTTAAAAGGTCTATAGTTGAATAGGTTGACTCTTAAATAGAAAACTTAATTTCATGACAAAGACGGGTTCCCAAGCTATTAAATCAGGAAAAAATCTGAAAGCCCCCCCAGTTTGGAGAACCCAGACCGCCATCAAAAACCCAATAAAATAATAGAACTTCATTGTATACAATTATTATCAACAAAGGCCCAATTTTACTTTTGTTTCCAAAAGAATCTACTCATACAAATTTAATCCATTTTTATGAAATATTCGCCGATTTTCAGAGAAGTTCGACCAAAAAGAACAAGACTTTGTCAGGTTACAAATATTATTTTGACCATTGCGTCTGTTCAGACGTTTTGTAATTAATTTGGAACTATCACCACAAGGAACAAAAGAAGAAAACATGCATATAAGATCATAAAACATTACGAACGGATGTACAAATATGATTGATCAGATG